CACACACACACACACACACACACACACACACACACACACACACACACACACACACACACACACACACACACACACCGTAATATTACAGTCATCGTCATGCGCAGTAAATAAAAACCGTTCGACTTTGGGCTTTATTGATAGGTTTTTATTTACTGCGCATGACGATGACCGTAATATTACGGTTGTGTGTGTGTGTGTGTGTGTGTGTGTGTGTGTGTGTGTGTGTGTGTGTGTGTGTGTGTGTGTGTGTGTGTGTGTGTGTGTGTGTGTGTGTGTGTGTGTGTGTGTGTGTGTGTGTGTGTGTGTGTGTGTGTGTGTGTGTGTGTGTGTGTGTGTGTGTGTGTGTGTGTGTGTGTGTGTGTGTGTGTGTGTGTGTGTGTGTGTGTGTGTGTGTGTGTGTGTGTGTGTGTGTGTGTGTGTGTGTGTGTGTGTGTGTGTGTGTGTGTGTGTGTGTGTGTGTGTGTGTGTGTGTGTGTGTGTGTGTGTGTGTGTGTGTGTGTGTGTGTGTGTGTGTGTGTGTGTGTGTGTGTGTGTGTGTGTGTGTGTGTGTGTGTGTGTGTGTGTGTGTGTGTGTGTGTGTGTGTGTGTGTGTGTGTGTGTGTGTGTGTGTGTGTGTGTGTGTGTGTGTGTGTGTGTGTGTGTGTGTGTGTGTGTGTGTGTGTGTGTGTGTGTGTGTGTGTGTGTGTGTGTGTGTGTGTGTGTGTGTGTGTGTGTGTGTGTGTGTGTGTGTGTGTGTGTGTGTGTGTGTGTGTGTGTGTGTGTGTGTGTGTTGGAACAAATGCGACACCAAACAAAAAAATGGACCCGGAACATCAAACGTTTCTGCTTCTATACTAAATAATAAAGGAATACTGTGTCCAACGGTTTCAGAGAACCAACTAGAAGGTACTGCTTTGTCATAAAATTTTACATTACTGATAGATACAACATAGAATTTGTTTTAGCACAATCTTTAGCAAATATTTCGGGCACCTCCAGTAGGGGACCGACGTTCGGGGACCGACGTTCGATAACGAACTAGCGACAAAGAGTCATTTTTCTGACTCAGATAACTATAATCCAGAAGAGGACTCAGCTAGTAGCAGTTCTTCCTGCTCTACTTGTTCGAGCTCTAGCGATACAACATCAGAATCAGAGGATCAAAATGAATTGAAAGAAAATAAATTAAGTTATTTAGAAAGGTATGACGCAAACATACAATTATTCTAAAGCTATTTTTCTTTCTTTTAAGGCGAGGACCCTAAGAGGAAGAAGAAAAACATAAACGCTTGGAAGAAAAACATAAGGAAACAAAAAAGATTAAAAGGAGAGTCTTATGTTTGTTCTAGAAATAAAGAGAGACCGGCACGTCCCATGTTACCATCCCCGTGTTCTGATAAAGCAAACCACAAATGTGACACTTTTGTCAACGAGGAAAACCGACGCAAAATTTACAGTGTATTTCATGAAAATATGATTTCGGTAGATGATCAGCGAATTTTCTTAAATAGTCATATTGATAAACAAAAGAAAAAGAGAGTGACTAGAAACATTGAAAATTCACAAAGAACGTTCACCATGAGTTACTCGTTTACCGTCAACGGGGAAAAAAGACAAGTATGCCGGGCCTTTTTTATGGCTACACTCAATGTAACAGAGGCATTTATGCGCGGAGCTATGGAAAAACTTTCTTCTAGTGGCATAGTTGAAAAAGAAAAACGTGGAAAACATGTCACACACAACAAATTGAAAGATAATGATGAACTGCTGATTCGTGAGCACATTCTTTCATTTCCAGCCGTGGAGTCCCATTATTGTAGGGCCTCTAGCTCCAAAAAGTATTTGGATTCTTCACTAAACGTCTCTATTATGCACAAATTGTACAAATCAAAGTGCTCAGAATTAAATGTCCGTCCAGTTTCTTTCGAGAAGTATCGACGAATGTTTAAAAGTTATAACTTGGGGTTCCATAAACCCAAAAAGGACCAGTGCAAAAAGTGCTTAAAATATACGAATATGACAGAAGAGGAAAAAAACACACACGAACATATGCTAAGGAAACAATTAGCTCGTGAGGCTCGAGACGAAGACAAAGAAATTGCAAAGAATAATTCAGAGGTACTGTCATTTACTTAACAACTTAGGAAATCAGGATGGAATCTGTTACCTTTGGGATGAAACCCAAGGAAAAAGGGGGTCAAACGAAATATCCTCGTGTATTTATAATTACATTATCAATCAACCAAATATTACTGAGGTTCGAATGATGTCGGACGGGTATGGCGGGCAACAAAAAAATTCGCATTTTGCTACTATGTGCTTGAAACTTCTTACGGATCGCATTAATTTAAAAATTATTCATCACAAGTTTTTCGAATCGGGACATACCGAGATGGAGTGTGATTCACTCCACTCGAAAATCGAACAGAAATCAAAATATGTTCCGGTTTATTCACCCGAAGGTTGGGCTCAGATAATAAGAAGTCCTCGAACACACCCACGTCCTTTTGAAGTCAGATTCGTAATGTTTGATGATATCTTTGATTTCAAGTCCTTTGGAACACAAAACTATAAATTGAGCCAGATTCCCTGGCAACAAGTTTGCTGGTTACGATACATTAAAACCGACACCGTGGTGATAATGTCCTATAAAAAAATTTTGGAGATGAATTTCAATAAGTTGTGACAGCATAAAAAGTCGTAGAAGACCCAAAAACGTTGTCTTGAAAAAAGCCTATGATAAGCAGTTACCAATTGCGATTGCTAAATATAAAGAGCTGCAAAAAATGTGTAAAGATTTAACAATTCCAAAGAACTATCATAACTTTTATAATTCTATAAATGCTGATAAAAATATAAGAGACAATTTGCCGGAGCCAAATGAAAGCGAAATTTCTGACGAAAACTAAATTATTCTAAAATATGATTTAAGTGTTTTACTATATTATTATTTCTATTTTTGTAGTTTTTAATATTAGAAATTTCTTTTTGTTCCACTTTTATCATAATAAAAGTTGTATAATTTCACGTATATGCATTTTATTAAAAAAATTACAATGCCACAATCACGAATGTTACTTTTTTCGAAAATTAATGGATATTTTCGTAAATCATTGATAACATTTCTAAAATATAACTATAACATCTTTTAATAAAAGTACAAAAAAAATGTCGCATTTAATCCTGATTTTTAGCAACTCATTGAAAGTTTAAAAGTCGAATATCTGCTAACGCTCATTTTGCACATTCGTGGGTGTGGCATTGCACCGATGATGTGTGCTCTATGGGTAATAGACCAGTTAATTACAGCATTTGACAAAGCGACGTTCTTGAGAGTAACCAGCTCGTCAACTGTCATCGGTCCTAACCAATATTCGAATAGACCAGTCGACTCTGTCTGACAAAGGCAAACTTACTGGCAAATTAATTGATAAGTTAACAGTTTATTATGACCTAGCTATAAGAAGAAACTGCTTTTCGGTGCAAAATATGAGAGACGCTATATTGGCAACTTATTTTCATTATATCTCCACAGACAAAAATCCACAGTACAATAAATGTCCAAAGGGCTCTGACATGGTGCACTTGGCAGCGTGCTTCAGCAATAAACACTCTTTCAACATACAAACACAAATAAGATCTATTACCAAGTAAGGTTTCATCAGCTATCAAGCCTATTTATGAAGAACTCAGCAAAGAGAGGTGTGTTGGTGGCTTCACGCAAAACAATAATGAAAGTTCGAACCAGTTAATTTGGAAAATTACTCCAAAAATACTTCCTGCTGGTTTAAAAATAGTAGAGATTGCTGCCTTTGTCGCTGCTGGCACTTTCAACGAAGGAGTCTTAGCTTTGTTGCTTTTTATGCATGGCATTGACTTGAAACTTGGCCGAAACAGTCACGAGTATGCCCGAAAAGAAGATGAGCACCGCATACTCATTGCCGAAAAGAAAGCTGACGTTGCGACTCGTGAAGCAAGAATTCGTCACAGGCAAGAGCCAAAGGATGTCCTGGATATTGCCGCAGCAGCAGGTACTTTGCTTTATGGTGCCGGAATCGATGATTCTATGTAAGTTAAAAAAACATTTTTTTGTGTGTTATTTTAATTTAAAACAGGTGAACACGATTTCTCGAAAAGTTATGTAGCGATTTTGTTCAAATTTTGCACACATCTTTGAAATATCATTATCTAATTATTATTACAACTAATTTTTTCGAACATGGCGAAAATTTGACCTAAAAATGTGTTTTTTTGTTCAAAGTCTGTCAAAAATTCAAATTAATTTTTTTTCCTTGGTCCAATAACGAGATTTATCCATGTACTAACTAAATATTTTTGGTGTTTTGATTTTAGATGAACCAATAATGAGTTACGCTGTCCACGGCAAGAGCAATTTTTTTGAGACGTCAAGGGAGATGAGTTACCCACGGAATTTTTAAATAAAAAGTTCACAAAATACTGTTTAAATATGTATCTTTGATATGCTGAATTGTTTAAATAAAATACATGATTGTATATTTAAAAAAAATAGTAAAAATACCCTTTTTGTGAATCTTTGAAACCCACCTAACCCCTTTACTGCGCTACATGTTACCAATTGAAAATGAAAATTAGAAATGCACCCTGTAGAAAAAAGTGAGAATCCTAAAAAGTGGAAAAGGATCCAATGGTTTTTACATTGAAATCTTAAAATATTACATCTCTTCTCCAATTCTGAATACAATGATGTAACAACATTTTGTGATTAGTCAAAAAATTTGAACAATCATCAGGTAAGTTTAATAACACAGATGTATTTTTTAGTTAAAACTGTTTGGATTATTATGTCGTCAAATTTAGTAATTTATTAAATCCGAGTGAATAATTTAGTAGGAATGTTTGCTCTATGGTGACAGATAACTAAATTTATTCACATTTATTGTCCAAATTCTTTTGGTCACCTTCCAAAACTTTACCACACTTAATTAAATAAAACAAAAGGTTAATTATTTACATACTTTTATTATTGTATTATAAACTTAGCAACATAAATAAATTTTTAGGAAATCCGAAAGGTATATGTGTGTAATAACACTATTATTTACAACAGATATAATATAAATAATAGAATTCACTTATAACAATTAAGTCAGTCCTAAATGGAATTATAATAACAATAATTAACCATTTTTTTTATACAACCCAGACTATAGTGTTGTCGAGTTTTATTTTCTGGAAAGTAAATAACCATTTGGAAAACTACCCTAAAGAAATTTCATTTTCAGGAAACTGTTTAGGGATTTATTTTTAGTTTTTTCCGTTTTTTCCAACAACGTTTTGTTTTTCAATGCCCAATCTGACCATAACTTTAGAACTATTGCGTATATTATATAATACGACAGTAGTTCGATTGAAACAAAACTGTAAGATACAACAAAAAAATTATAAATCGATAAGGTGGTTCCAAAGTTATGACTCTAGAGTTTTTATAAAATACCATGGGTGCCGACATAATTTTTTCGAGGGGTACAATTTTATGAACCTATCCTTACAAGCATAAATGCTTAATTTTATTTAATAACTATATAATAAATCGTTTAAGCTTATCCCAATAAAAAATACTTTCCAAAAAACAATAGCTTAACAACAATTTACTATCCGACATTTTTTTTTAATTATCAACAATATTTAAATAACTGTACAAAACTTTCTTTTCCTATAAATAATTTAAAATTTAAAATTTCATCTTAGAATAACGTTGTCATAGAATTCTTTCCCCTCCCTCGAATTAAGGTGTCTCTTGAACGGGTTCCAATTCAACCTAGTTTTGTTGTTATTGTTATGATGGGCCATGGACCCTGATGGACTAGACATACCGCTGGAAACACCTGAGCTACTACTATGCGTGGAAACCGATCCCTTGTTATTGTTGGGGACTTTGTTAGGCTGCAAAAAAGGAAAATAAAATTAAATACCATAAACTCAATTGATAAAAAATATTCGTTATACATTCCAACGAAAAACTAAATTTTCAGTGTTCCTCAAGAAACCATTCCGGGGCCACAACATTTTCTTATTTATGTAAATGATATTTTTTATTTCTATTATCACACATGACGGCATGCTAAGTAGACGAATGGAATCTCTGGTAGTAAAAATAGTGTTTTTAAAAATCATACCTTTAAATAGTTTCTATCCATTGGGGTCACCAACTTAAAATTGAGAGATTCACCAGCATTTTTGATCAGCGTTACTACCTCGTCGTGAGAAGACCACTTCACATCTTTGTCTGCTACGGCTACAATGAAATCACCTTCTTTGATGCCCCCGAACTGAAAAAAGAAATAAATGTAATAAATGAATGTAATAAAATGAATGTAGTAAATGTACTAAATATAATAAATGTAATAAATGTAATAAATGTAATAAATGTAATAAATGTAATAAATGTAATAAATGTAATAAATGTAATAAATGTAATAAATGTAATAAATGTAATAAATGTAATAAATGAATGTAATAAATGTAATAAATGTAATAAATGTAATAAATGTAATAAATGTAATAAATGTAATAAATGTAATAAATGTAATAAATGTAATAAATGTAATAAATGTAATAAATGTAATAAATGTAATAAATGTAATAAATGTAATAAATGTAATAAATGTAATAAATGTAATAAATGTAATAAATGTAATAAATGTAATAAATGTAATAAATGTAATAAATGTAATAAATGTAATAAATGTAATAAATGTAATAAATGTAATAAATGTAATAAATGTAATAAATGTAATAAATGTAATAAATGTAATAAATGTAATAAATGTAATAAATGTAATAAATGTAATAAATGTAATAAATGTAATAAATGTAATAAATGTAATAAATGTAATAAATGTAATAAATGTAATAAATGTAATAAATGTAATAAATGTAATAAATGTAATAAATGTAATAAATGTAATAAATGTAATAAATGTAATAAATGTAATAAATGTAATAAATGTAATAAATGTAATAAATGTAATAAATGTAATAAATGTAATAAATGTAATAAATGTAATAAATGTAATAAATGTAATAAATGTAATAAATGTAATAAATGTAATAAATGTAATAAATGTAATAAATGTAATAAATGTAATAAATGTAATAAATGTAATAAATGTAATAAATGTAATAAATGTAATAAATGTAATAAATGTAATAAATGTAATAAATGTAATAAATGTAATAAATGTAATAAATGTAATAAATGTAATAAATGTAATAAATGTAATAAATGTAATAAATGTAATAAATGTAATAAATGTAATAAATGTAATAAATGTAATAAATGTAATAAATGTAATAAATGTAATAAATGTAATAAATGTAATAAATGTAATAAATGTAATAAATGTAATAAATGTAATAAATGTAATAAATGTAATAAATGTAATAAATGTAATAAATGTAATAAATGTAATAAATGTAATAAATGTAATAAATGTAATAAATGTAATAAATGTAATAAATGTAATAAATGTAATAAATGTAATAAATGTAATAAATGTAATAAATGTAATAAATGTAATAAATGTAATAAATGTAATAAATGTAATAAATGTAATAAATGTAATAAATGTAATAAATGTAATAAATGTAATAAATGTAATAAATGTAATAAATGTAATAAATGTAATAAATGTAATAAATGTAATAAATGTAATAAATGTAATAAATGTAATAAATGTAATAAATGTAATAAATGTAATAAATGTAATAAATGTAATAAATGTAATAAATGTAATAAATGTAATAAATGTAATAAATGTAATAAACGTAATAAACGTAATAAATGTAATAAATGTAATAAATGTAATAAATGTAATAAATGTAATAAATGTAATAAATGTAATAAATGTAATAAATGTAATAAACGTAATAAATGTAATAAATGTAATAAATGTAATAAATGTAATAAATGTAATAAATGTAATAAATGTAATAAATGTAATAAATGTAATAAATGTAATAAATGTAATAAATGTAATAAATGTAATAAATGTAATAAATGTAATAAATGTAATAAATGTAATAAATGTAATAAATGTAATAAATGTAATAAATGTAATAAATGTAATAAATGTAATAAATGTAATAAATGTAATAAATGTAATAAATGTAATAACTGTAATAAATGTAATAATTAGTTGTTACCGCTTTCTACACTTCTAGACTTTCTAGGTATATATAACTTACCTCTGCTAGCGAGTTATTTTCCACGACAGCTACAATGACTGGAGCGTCTCCTCGCAAGGAAAAGCCAAAACCGTCTGTGGTTTTCCCTCGATGGAGCTGTACCAATCTAGGGGCAGTCCAATGCCTTTTGGCTGAAAAGATGGCAATGGGGCCAAGGCATCTGAAAAGATCGTTCACACGGTATTGTGCGAAATCTGGAGGGGTTAGCGATAGCTGGAATTTCGTTGCGGCTAAAAGATAAGAAAATGTATATACTATTGTTGCCACCTTATAACAATAACACGCAACTACTTAATACAGTCATTTTTAAGACCACAAAAGAATATTTGTGGGTAGGTTATAAGGATGATCGGTGCTTTATATATACCGGGTAGAATTCTCTATGAGGAACACTCTCTGTGCAGAAGATTCTCCGAGTAGAAAATTTGAGTTGCGTATCTTTGTCACGAGGGCTGATAGCCATTTATTTTGAATCGCGACTTAAACGTTTAATCGAATTGTGAGTGGTGATTTAACTTTTAATACCTTATATTGGGCTGAGCCTGTTTGTGTATTTTAAAATTTTTTTATATACCATTCATATCAACACAGTAAGGTTTTTGAAAACAAAAAAAAAACAATAACAAAAACTCAAATAAGTGAATCATTGTAGTAGCGATTATAAATAAATATTGTACTTTGCTTATACAAACGATCTCTAATTATTTACCTTGAATTTGTGGAGGATCCAATAAGTCGCTGAAATCATCTTCCGTTTCCGTTGAAGTATAAGCATTTAAAGCTTGTTTGTGAGCCGTCCTTAACACAGATATTAGGGCTAGTTTTCCTTTCAGTTCCCTACACATTCTGTGTTGTCTTTGGCCTTCTTCGTATATAACTAAGGCTTCACGTAAGTGAGCTCTTCCTAAAAGAAGGACAATTCATTATAATTGGATTAAATATTATACTTTTATAAAGAAACATTTCCAAAACTCGAGTTGGTTGACTCAGTTATTTATAGTAAAACTTTAAAGAGCCAGTCTGGATAGACTAGACTTCCTTCTTGATGATCCAATGAAGACAAGTCCTAATCCAAATACACAAATATCCTGTGAGTGGAAAGTCTTACAAAGGACAATAAGTGGAAGTGAGACTAAAGGAACACAATAATTGCGTATAACAATAGGATCAACATCTCGAAACTTCGATCCTCTGATAAATAAAATAAATAGAAGTAATCAAAAATTTAAATTCAAGCTCTCTCTTACCTAGTAACCTCCTTTCTGCTTCATTTTTAGGTACTCTATCTAACTGAGATCCATCGACGTCCGCATGCATGTACATAAGAGTATCCTTGGCAGCGTCGGACATCGATCCTGCATCCTTATTTAGTACTCCTGACGCTAATAGGTTATGCGCCATGCCAGTATAATACTCTCTTTTGACTTGGACCAACGAAGCCCAACTGTATGGGACAAAATCTCGTACCGTATCATGAGCGATAAGTTGAATAACATCGTTGTAGCAGTCGGCTAAGTGAGCTGCTTCTTGCGACAAGTCGAAGCATATGTCTACGGATCTGTTTTCTTTAGATTGGAGCTGCAGTTTTTCGAGGAGGCATTCGCGGGCTTGACACTAAAATGACAAATATATTTATACCTAAATTTACTCTGTTAGTTTAAATACTTACCAACATTAGTTGTACGAACATTTCGAGCATCGTATGACCCAGATCCATAGAGGGAGCGTTGGTAAAATTTTCGTGTATATATCGAAAGGTACCAGCTGCTCTAAGGAAGCTGTCGACTGCTGCGTCCAAACCTTTGGCTATGGATCTATCTTGTTTGGCTCCTATTTGAGTATACAAAGCTCCCATGTTGAACAGAACGCAAGCTTTCTCGAACGCTACCGTTCTTTGACACGATGGCACACCTGAAATACAAGAAAATCGTTCTTAAAACGATGTTTACGGCCAATAAATGAAATTTAAATATATTGGATTCTCTATAAAATTCTATAAAGTGTTGCTTGCCTCATAGAGGTATTTAAATATGCGAACTTGGATAAGCAATTAGGGTTGCCAATATTGAACCAAAGCTGACCAAGAGAAAAATGTTATTGTGGTGAGAAAAGCAGAGTTTGATATGTAAAATAACATTAAAATATTCACCCCTGTTGTTATCCCACATAAAATTAATAATGTTATGGATTTTGTTTGTTTTTTTTTATGTGGGATTCATTTTATAAGGGATTAGTTTTATATGAGAGTTCTTCTGAGTATTTGCTTTTATGCGGGATTGATGTTATACGGGATTAATTTGGTACGGGATTACTTTTATACTGGATTACTTTTATGCGGTATTGTATTTATGCAGGATTGATATTGTACGGTACTGATTTTACGTGGGAATTATTCTGATAAAATTTATTTTTCGCGACTGATTTTGTCTTTATAGTATTGTGACAATCGAATTAAATTACTGATCTGAAGAATTTGAATGCAAACCAAAAGCCAGAAAAACGATCGTCAAACCCTCAAACTTCGGGTCTAAATAACGATTTTGGCAACCTTATTTATATAATTTTAAAATAGTAAACTTCTTACCTGTTAACGAATCAAACCACTCAAAATATATCCCTAATGACCTATCGGGCGGGAAAAATCGCCTCTCAACGAAGTATAGCTGGTTGTAGTACCGAAATAACAATCCTATGCCGGTACCATCTCTGAGTGGCGTCCTGATAGCTTGTCGCGTATCCATGAAATCCGAAATGGCATCTTCATATTGATTGGCGTCTTCACTGTAATGTTCTAAGATGAAATCCTTGAAAGGGTCCCGGAAATCAATTTCTTTTGTTTCTTTCAAACCTAAGGGGATCATTGGCATCACAGCGTCGGTGCTGAAACAGACAAGAAAAAACGTTTTATATTAAAATTGACGAATAGGTTCCAAAACTGGTCCTTTTATAAAATACTTCTATTGTTTAACAGGAAAATCTCAATTCCCAAAAAAATTAATTTAACAAAGGTAATGCTAGAAATATATGAAAAATTAAAATACAAGGAATAAAAAAAACGTTTTATATAATATATTCATTCTTTCATTTGAAAATTGACAAATGGGATGCAAAATTGGTTCCGGTCGAATCTCAATTTTAAAAAATCTCAATTACAAAACAAATTTATTTAACAAAAGTAATGCTAGAAATATATAAAAAATATAAAAGTACAATGAGCATAAAAAAATAACAATAATAAAGTGAAGCGAGTTTTAAAGCAGACTAATACAGTGTTGGTGTAACTATAACTATAAAATAATTAAATATATCAAAATCACTGCAAACTTTATTGTATGTATAACATTGGTCTGACAGAAGAGACCTTGTGCCAAATATGTAAGGAATATGAGGAAACTACACTTATTGTGCGAAGGTCTATCAAGGCTAAGATTCCTTACACTTGGAGAAGAAAAACCAAGGGTAACTATCTATGCCGGAAAACTACTTCCTAGTCTATGAAGTCTACTAAAAAAACCAAACGTGACAAGGTACTCTAAACAATGATTAAAGAATATCCACAATAGATCTGAAAGAGTCAAGGATGGAGTGGCTAAATGACCCACAGTCCCAACGAAATATGATCTAATCTATTGTAGGTAGAACCCATTGAGACCATTGATGATTTTGCATAAATATTATTAGGAAGTAATTGTACGTAGAAACTTTGATTGAGTCTGCTAATTTCAAGTCTTGGAATATGGATATGTAAGTACCTTAATAATTCTGAGCAATTATGTTTTACTATTTACTAGATTGTATGCAAACATGCAAGAATAGTACTGCCAACGATTAACTACGCAAACCTGTTGAGAAGTAAATTGTTTACAGAGATTATCTTCTTTGATTACTAATGCACTGTTTCCTATTAACTTGTCAGGTTTACTGTTGCATGAATTCCTACATATGTACCCTTACTTATTAGGAACAGAAAGTTGTCTCAGGCGCTGATCCATTACTATAGTCTTAAGAATTGTTGCCTTCCACAGATTAGACCAGAAGTGCACAACATACCTGGCCAGTGTCGTTTTGGCGGCCCGCTGGCTGTTGAGCAGTTTGGCCCGCCTACGTGAAATTATACATTTTTTTTTTTAGTAACAACTTGCATTTAGATTGACTACCTTTTTTTTTTAGAAAACTCTATCAGCAGGATAGGTTATACATTATAAGCTGACGACTCTTTGTTTTGAAGGCTCGACCAGCAGGAGTGGGTTTGTGGGTTTATAAGAAAGGTATTGACCTTTTTTTAATCTGAATCGACTATTGTAGGCTCAGGCCTCTCTTAGCGACCCTCGTACAGTTACGGTTTTTCAAATCTAGTCCTTTGAAAATCTGACTTGTGCAGGCTTGGATTAGGCAGACGACAATATCACAATCAAGAAGCTGCCTACCCTTAAAGGTGTAGTCTGCTGGCATCTTCTCCTCTTCTAGAAAGCAGAAGACGCATAATTACTTGTCTATTAGAACTAGAGAACATTGTTATGTTGTTAAGGGGTTACCATCGATCCTATTGTCTATGTTCAGATTATATTATACAATTCTCAGGTGGTTAAGATTTTATTTATTATGGTAGACAGCTAGGCAGTCCTTAAAGCACTACAAACCAATTTAATATTGAAATGTCAACACTACCAGCTCCTAATTACTCCTCAATTAGTGCCACTTTAACTAGACTTAACTTACATGTCGATGGCTTAGCGCACACATGTGTTAAGTGCAATTTTGGGACAAATTGTGTAAAATGCATGTATGAACTTTTACCTGTACAATGTATCTTTATTTTCCTTTATTAGGTAATCAGAAATAACAGAAAAGTGTGGACTGGGTTTGCTAGACACATTTTATGTGAAATAACAGAGAGCTTAAGCTTCAAACCTTTAAACTTAAATTGTGAAATATTATCAAAATGTTACTCAAGGCGACATTATCAGTGCATTTTTTATATAAGAAGCAAGGGTTTACCATTTCCGATTGCATTTAAATCTCGTTAAATGCATTAAAATAAATCTTCTACCATCTTAAAGTATAAGGTTTGGAGAATGAAATTTCCTATTTTTTATTTGTTCTGTTTATATATATATGTATGATAAAAATCATAAAAAGTGATTTTAAAACCACAGCTAAAAAATAGGATATTCCATTCTACATATTTTTCCAAGTATCCCGCCAAAATATTTCTAAATTTTATTGGGTATTTTTCAAATCTAAGCGGAAACAGGATTAACAAATATTTGATAAATTTATTTGTCAAATTAGAGATTTTTTATGAATACCTGTAATTGTGTAGTTCATCTATTTTTAAGAAGATGTCACTATATAAAAACAATGTTTAAGAGATGGTTTTAATAGGTGAATGATTGTTTAGAGGTACCAATTTTTGAATCAGTGATACAGCTGTATGCCGTCTTTTATTGTTTCGTGATTTTCATGTATATACAAAATTATCGATTTATTTTCCCTGTGTATGAACAAGTTGGCCACGTTGCCAGATGTACAATAATTATCGATTTATACGATAATTTCACAATTCTTTCTCGGACGAATTTCATTTTAAAGTTGGTGAAATATACAATGGTGAAATGCAGGAAAGGGAAGGAACTTTATTGACCTGGCATTACTGTATGGTACGCACGTAATATTTGCGGACTTGGCTTTCTTCTTCTAAATGTTATTTTATCTATATAAAGAATCTTATTTCTGAGTTAACACGTTGACTGCTATGTGTATGTACCCATGTGTATGTCCTATTAGTGCGTAATTGTTAAATATTTTAATTTGTGTTAAATACACGCAAACATGTTTCAAAGAAAAGTTATATGGATTTGAAAAATACATATTTTAAAAATATTTTTGGATATACAGGGCTTTTACACTTTCGCCTGGCATATTTTTTAAATAGAGCATGTATTTTATTTCAATTTTAGAATGGTTTGGTAATAAATACTGTATTTAACCCTAGAATAATTTAAAAAAATATTACAGGTCTGCCAAGCAATTAAATTTTTATGAAATTAGAGAATGATGCAGACCCCAAATTAAAATATAATAATTTAGGTAGGATTACAATGATTTCAAAATTGTTTAATGTACTGACTTATAACACATTAAGATAACGAATAGTGGTGATAGTGCTGGATTCTTATATACCGAGTGTTTTGAAACATGTCTTAAATATGGACACTTTTAAGTTCAAATTACTCAATTTTTTTGAAGGCAACACCCGGTATAATATTTTAGCATACAATTCTTTATAAATTGGCCTATTCAACGATACCAACATGTTAGACAATAACATATATACAAAGTGTCCCATCAGTGCGTAATTGATCGATAGCTGTTTTATTATTGGAAATAAGAAAAAAAAATTAATATAAAAGTTTTATGACCGTATTTAAAAATTATAAATATACAGGGTGGTCCATAAACGAGGTGTTGACCAAACCTATACATTTTTATAGTAAGCACCCTGCAGGTAGTTATACATATTTGATTGTTTTCAAGTCGTCAAATAATTTTAATTGACTTCATACATTTGCTATGTTATATATAGGGTGTGTCAAGACACGAGGTTGCGACTTTTTAAATTTTTTCAATGGAATACCCTGTATTAATTAATTGGTGGTATAACATACAGGGTGTTCCATTTAAAAATAAGAAAATCGTAACCTCGTATTTTGACACATACTATATACAACATAGCAAATGAATGGAATTGAAATTATTGTTCGACGATGTGAAAACAATCAAATATGTATAACTACCTGCAGGGTGTTTTGCTTTAAAAATGTATAGGTTTGGTCAGACAATCGTTTATAGATGACCCTGTATATTTATGAATAATTGTTAAATATGGTCATACAACTTTTATATTTATTTTTGTTCGTATTTCCTAATATAAAATTGCTATTGATCAATTACGTACTCATGGAATACCTTGTATATCGTTGGATAGATAAATTTATAAGGAATTGCATTCTAAAATAATATACAGGGTGTGGCATTTAAAAAAAATGAATAAATATAACTTGAAATTAGCCATATTTAAGACTTGTTTCAAAATACTCTGTATAGAATAATCCAGTTTTATCAGTAGTATATGATGTTGGTCAAAAAATATGATTTCGCTCAAGAGTAAAGTTATTTTTATATTTGATAAACCTCGTATATAATTGATAAAATTACTGATGCGGATCTAAATAAAGTATTGTGGGTAAATAAGTTAATAAAAACACTTTTTTATTCGTATATATTTGGAAATTCTGAAATTTTTAAATTTCGATTTTTTTATTAAATTTCTAAGAAGAGTACATTATTTATTTAAGAAACATCAAAAAATTTAAAATTTTATGTCCACATAACTTTTTGGATAGTAACGTAAAATTTAGGAGGGATGCGGTATTACGTACCAATGCTGTACGCCACTGGATAAGTTAATTTAGGTAAATAATTTTTTTACTGATAGGTGGATATTATGACACCAAAAACGTTTGCCAAATTTTGTAAAATTGTACTGAATAATAAAAACAATATACCTAGCCATAAATAATTTTTGGATTTTAACACCGTAATTCGGAAACGAGAAACATTTTATCTAAGCATGCTCCGTTTAGTTGTCTTATTTTTAATCAGAGATTCCTCAGTTGTTCTATGTCCCATTCTTAATGGAACACCATATGTAGTATATTAGGTCCCTACATAATGATACGAAGACCTTTGTCCTTTGTTGACTGGACATAACAATTACCTACTAAGTAAATATACCGATCCAAAACTTTTATTTACCTGCTACATCGAAAATATTTATCAAGGTCAAGAACTCGTATGTCTATCATCGTGTAGTGGCT